TAAAGTCCGCGGCATGTCGAGCTTTGTGGATTAAAAAGTAAGCGTCGAGTCTGGAGCTGTGTCAGGAGAAGGATTCCCAGTGGATGTATATTCCCAGGCGGAGTTTTTCCAGAAGTTGCCAGTCATGACGGAGCTACAGAGGACTCTGCAAACCTGCCTGCCTGACTGACAGTACCGTGAGTACCCGGTGTATATTTAGTAAATAATCACTATTTTCACTGCGATTACAGACGCCGCCATTTTTAGTTGATTTTCCTGGTTAATTAGTGTTGTGGGGATCCACGGTAAAACCCGGTGTTGAGTTGACTGTCTTTTCTTAGGTGAAACTGGACTTAACTGAGTTGATTTTGGGTTGTTGGAAAATACCGAAACGGGCTCTTTAGTGAGTGGACTGAACTTACCCACTTGCTGGCTTGCTTGATTGAATAGGAACATCATTGAAATCTGATTTGAGCTGTGTATTTGCTTTTGCAGTGCTGATTTATTTGTGTTGCATATTTCATTATCATTTGGCTGTGTGCCTCATTGTTTTTGTATGGTTTGATTAAGTAATTATTTGTCAGAAGTGACTGTGACTGGCATCCCTTTTCTTCTAAACGTGTCAAACCCGCTACAGTTGGGCTTTCAAGTGTTTTTTGTTGTTGTTGTTTGTTTGTTTCTGTTTTTTTTTTTTTTTTAATTTATTTACAATGAGGCCAAGCAGAACAGATTTAATCCACACCTGGCTGAGAGTTGTTTACAATGTGTGCCAAAACATCCAGTAACGCAGTTTTCTTTATCCTGATAAGATATCCAGTTAGAAATCGCATGTTAATACCACGTGTAAATGGGGTCAGTCCAATTACTTAAAACAGAAAACAATCATTCCACACTTGAGTCAACTTTTGCTCCTTTGTGAATGATGCTGAAATCAAAAGAATAGGATGATTGTCAAAGCTTTCTTTCTCTCTTCTCATGTGTTCAGTTAAATAAACTGTGCCACTGGAAAATGTTGTGCATGTTATATATGCTGCACGGTACACATGCATGACTGCTCTATACATTTACTGTAAGAACCCTGCATACATGATGTTTCTTACTCCCCTCCACCCCCACAACCCTCGCTCTATCTCTCATTCACTCACTCTCTGATGTCGGGCAGAGTACAAGCCACATGTAAGCAGTCAGAGACATCCATTTCCTGTCAGGTTATGAGGTGTTTATGAATTATAAAACTGTGACAACCTGGGACTCGGGAATGAGTGAGGTGGGGATAAGATGGGCAGAATGAGAAAAGAGATAAAGGATAACTTATTCACTTTAGTTGTGTATTGCGTTATATGCGTTATATGCGTGTGTGCATGAGTGAGTATGTGTGCATCTGCATATTTTTGTGTCTGTCGCATGTGAGCCTGTATGTGTGCCTGCATGTGTCCATGTGCGCATGCACTGACATTGTGCTGACATTGTGTTAACTTGGTGTACTGCTCCCACAGCTGTGCTTATTTGGTGCCTTGGGAATATCCTAGAATTTCTCTATTATTCATTCAATTACAAGTGTGTGTGTGTGTGTGTGTGTGTGTGTGTGTGTGTGTGTGTGTGTGTGTGTAAAAATGAGAGTGTGTGTTCAATGCAGCCTTATACCTGCGCCATCTGGCCCTGTAATAGCCTTCTATGCCCCCCAGAATGACATGGTTATGTCTGGCTGCATCAGACACACAAACACACAGGCCTACACAAAAGACACGCACACACATGCTGCTACTGGAGGCGATGTATTTTTTTAATGGTAATTGAAAAACAAAGTTTACTTGTCTCTATGCGGAGAATTTTCAGAGGATCAAAGTCAAATCATTTAGTGTAAATTATGAGACAAGTCATAATGAAGCGTGGTACACAAAACTACACTTACCGTGAAGTTTGACCCCACACAGGTGACTCACCTTCACTCTTCAAGAAATAATCAGAAGTTTTTGGAACTATGCTTGTTTACTGTCTTTAAAGGAGCTGGATGAGAGGACTGGTGTCAGTTTCATCTTGGTGTGTGCAGCAGCATATTTGGCTGAGCTTAGCATGAGAACATAAGCAGGGGAACAAGGCTAGAGGTAAAGTATAATTGTCTCACAAGAGGTTTTGTCTTGTTAGCTAGCATGCAAGCCAGAAATACACCCAAGAATCACCTGGGTTTTGTTCAGAGCTATGACGCTCTGCAGAGTCACTAGGTCTGGCTGTGATGGTCGGTAAACTGCTTGTTATGCCATAGTGTTTTTAGCTAGCTAGCTATGTGGCTCTAGGGATGGCAATGCCAGCTGCTACACCACTTTGGTCCAGACTGAAATATCACTACAACTGTTTGATGGCTTGCCATGAAATTTTGTACAGATATTAATGGTTCCCTGACGATGTATCCTAATGACTTTGGTGAGCCCCTGACTTTTCCTTTGCTGCCACCACAGGCTTCACATTTGTGGCACTGAGTGAGATGTCTTCCTAACTATTGAAAAGATTGTCATTAAAATTTGGTGCACACATTAGTGCCCCCCTCAGGATGAAATGTAATAACCTTGGTGATCCCCTGAATTAACATCCAGCACAAAACTCTGCTTTGGAGCTCAAAGCACCGCTGTGCCTCAATACAGCCTGGCAGAATCACTACCGTGGCTGTAGACTCTTAGTTATGTTTCTAGTCTTAAATACTTGTGGTACAACTTTTTTACAAATATATGACAGCTGGAGTTGTTTGTGCTGAGCTAGATTAAACTGATAATAATAATTAACTAATTCTATTTATAAAAATTAGAATTATTAGAAAATAATGAGATGCAGAGATGACCCATGGGCTTGTATTTTACAGGACAATCACTTTCATAATATCCATCCTTCCTCTGTCTACACACACGCACACACACACACACACACACACAAATTGACATATTTCAGAGAATCCTTTGCAAACCACAAATATTGCATTATCCTCAAATCAAATCCAATTGTGAGTTTTCAGTTCTTGCTTGCTTGAGATGGTAGACATGTTGCAGTGAAAACATATTTGGTTGTTCACAGTGTCAGCAGGATGCTGCAACCAAGCAATTTGTAACACTTACAGCACAAATATGACTAAATATAAACAAACAATTGCTAAAAAGCCTTCTTAGAGCCGTTTTTAGGAAAAAATGTGTAGGTTTCCACTGGATATGACTGGAAGTCCACATTGCAGACAAGTGATTTCAGCTTCTGCTGATATAAGAAGCCAAATTTTCTAATAGTGTTATGGCATCTCTGCTTCATTTGAGATTCCACAGGGATGGCAGAGGTGGAAAGAGACAGAGAATGACATGCAGCCAAGGTCAAAGCCCAGATTCAAATCTATGATCTACCAGTCTCAGTACTTTGTCTATCATTTGTTTTCTCTTAAGACATTAGTGCTTTAGCTCGCTTTGTCATAGCAGAGTTTGGAGCCACATCAACATCAAGGTGGCTTTAACTGCTTTCCAACTGAAGTAAAAGGCACGTCACCTCTTTAATCTATATAATCTATCCTATCGTATTATTTTGTCTGTCTGCTCCAGTTATCCATGCCCCTTCTACCCTTCTCTATGTCTGTCTCAAATATGCTTGCTTCACCCAACATGTATAAACTTGTGCAGCCAACTTTTGATATTTAATCCACATCTTTCAATGGCACGTCTCCTCCGATTTGGTTGATGTTTTTGAAGTTCACCACACAGTCACAAAACATAAGATTGCTACATGAATGGGAGGGTAGTCACGGCATTTGAAATTACAGACAGAAGATATGTCTCTAAAGCCAAGTGCCATTGGAGTTAGATTTAACCTTGTTTGGGCTTTAATTGTCTGACTTGAGTATACTTGATTACACTGCTAAATTCACTACAGAAATAATCTTAATCTACTTCTGATTGGCAGCAGTAGCTACACACTTGGCACTAGTGATACATTCTTACAGGTGAAACTGCGTCTCTGGTAGGGGAGCTAGCTGTGGGGTATTCAGGTTTAACTAAAAAAGAAAAAGACCTAAACTTCTCTCCAGAAATACAAAGTCAACACATGTTTTCCCACAACATAATATTCTCAATGGCCACTGTGCATCTTAAATTCAGTTATAATGAGAATTATGATTTAAATCAGGGAGTGATTTGGGAGTGTCTGTATAAATCGACAGGTCTGTCTCATTTGTGGTGGTGGCCAAATGGACGCCTGATCCAAGCACCACACAGGTTAAGCCACTCTGCTCACTTTTGCATTTTTTTGGCTCCCAATAACGAGACGACAAGATGGCTTCAAAAGAACAAATTCCTGACAATACTGTGTGCAAGAGTCCCAGCAAGAGTGTGCAGATCCAGGTACTTGTTAGTGGTGCAGCTTCCTGGCTAATAACACTGCCAGCTGTCTCTGTTTGTGCCTGTTAGTGCTTTATTTGTACCTTCAGCTATGCAGCGTGATGACAACCAAACAAGAGCACAACACTTTATTCTATTCTGTGGCAGAGGAAGGGATGCGAGAGTGAACTCAGGAAAGGACAACTTCATAAGAAGTGAGTTACAGGGATTATGGGATGCTGTCACACTGGTGAATAAACACACACACACACACACACACACACACACACACACACACACACACACACACACACCGACACACACACACACACACACGTAGGTATGCACACACGCTGGGCACACCAAAGCTCCTCTGGTGTTAGATAGACAGAAGCAGACAGTAGGAGAGACACTCTGTGTGTGTGTGTGTGTGTGTGTGTGCGCGCGCGTGTGCGCGCGTGTGCGCAGAGACAGGGAAAGACTAATACACACTGGGAAAAGTCAGACAGAGAAAGAGAGACAGCTACACAAACATATAGAGAGACATGTTCACACACACACACACACACACACACACACACACACACACACACACACACACACACACACACACACACACAGAGGCAGAGAGACAGCTATAAGAGAGAGACAGACAGTCAGTCGGTCAGACTGATCACGTACCTTCCAGACAGCAGGTTCGCCAGAGGCCGGAGTGCGTCATCACCTCCTCGTTCTTGCGGCTCGTGTCGTTGTCGCCACTGCTCTTCACGCGGCAGACCCCGCGCGAGTACAGCCAGTAGTCGGTACCGACGGCGATGGTCATGAGGCTGAAGGCGGCGAACGCGCCCACCGTCGTCACGAGCATCTGGACGCCGCGGTCACACATCAGCATCTTCATATAGGCGGCTCCTGTTTGTCTTAATCTTTTTTCCTCCTCTCTTTTAGATTCAGCCTTTTATTTCCTTTATATCCCGCGAGACTTGGAGTCAGAGTGAGGGGTTCAACAGACAGGCACTCAAACAATAGGTTAATGATAATAATAAAAATAGCCTAGGTAAAAGCTGGAGATTTTGTGAGTATGGAGCGAAAAATGAAATACTTGGCTGCTTTGTCCGTTGAGTTGACAAGAGGCTCGTGGCAAAGGGCGGGAAGGTGGGAGGGCGGCACGTCACTTTCTCGCGCATCAAAAACCGGTGTTCACCACCACCCTCATACACACGCACGCGCGCACACACACCGGGGGTTTAACGACCACCGGTTGTCCCCGACTACCCGACACAGCCCTCAGTCAGTCAGAGCGGAGGGTACCACATTCTGCCTCTCCTTTCCTCCTTCCGTTCATTCCGTGTATTTGTCCCAGGGTTAATCAGGGCGAGCTGCTGTTGGAGCCGCGTTATCCACCAGTAACCAGAGATCTTTTCTTCTCCCTCCTCTTCTTCTTCTTTGCTCCGTTTTCCCTCTGTCTCTCCTGTCTCTTCTCCTCCTCCTCCCTCCCTTCCTTCCTTCCTTCCTTCCTTTCTTCCCTCCTCTCTTCTCAACTTCTGCCGCTGCTCTTCCCAAACAGCTCCCTTATTAATCTGTTAACCATTAGCAGCCAAGGTCTGCGTGGGGGGACTCCATCTTTAAAACAACAACAAAAAAGGGGGTTAGTTTGTTTTCTTGACTGGTGTAACCACACAGCATATGTCACAAGAGAGGATTTTGAATATGTTTCTACAAAAACAGAATTGTTTAGGCAGCTCGCCCTTAACTCACCGCTGGATTTCTTGACCGGTGAATGATCCCCTCGGTATGTGGTAGATATGAGGCGGTGCGGTGGATTTATGCTTTTTTCCCTTTTGTTCGGTTTCCCGTTGAATTCCTAAATAGATGGACGGATGAATAAAGCCCATACGTCAGCTATGAAGAGAGAGTGGACGTTCACCGAGATCCGTCGTGCGTTATCCACTCCAGCTGTTGACTCACTGACATGTTTTCTCTTCCTCCTCGATGTCCAGAGTTCAGGCAACAGAAACTCGACCAAACACGCAGCCGCTAATAAAAACCAAAATCAGTTTTACCATCGATTATCTGCAGTGTGGAGACACACCAAGACGGGTATTTAAATTAGGCTTTAAAGAGGCACCAAAATGAGACCAAGACGGGGTTAATTAATTTTCTCCTTCAAAACAGCCGTCTTGGCTCTCTCTCACCGCCGAAGTGCAACCACAACCGGGACAAACCGGCCAATAAGACGCCTGCTGATGGACCCTGTAGGACAGTTACACCCGCCTGGGTTTGCTCCCAAGAAACGTGCCCGTTGGTGCAAATGAAAAAAAAATGACAGCCGTCGCCTCCTCCTCCTCCTCCTAGTCCTCCTCCTCCTCCTCTTCGTCTTCCTCCTCCTCCTCCGCTCGGTCCAACCAACACAAACTAAAACTAACCGCGCGTCTCCTCAAACTCCGCCCGAGGCCGCCCCGCTCGGCTCGGATAGGCCTCGTGGGTGACAGCGCCCTTCAGGAGCTAATAACACACCGTCACTGCTGTATGTCCCGCCCACCGCCGCAAAGCCGTCAGTATAAAGCGTGAGAGGCTTCTGTCAAGAGGGAAGAGAGCGTTGTGAGTTTTAGTAAAAGGAGGACTACTTTTTTTTACCATTATAAGAGACACCTCATTGTGTTTATGTCAACAGAATTTCGTTTATGTAGTCAGACTACCAATATCAAAGCGCAGTAGGCGACTGAGCAGGTTTCCAAGCGGTGGAATAGTGGTCAAACTCATAAACTCACTGTAATTACATAGTGGACCACATCTACACAAAGGTGTTATAAAAACAGTGATGTTGACCAGATTTGTTTATAAATCCGCTTCTGATGTCTTTAATGCAGCTTCCAGTTTTTGGGCAGTGCTGTGCCGCGCCACTTGCCGCTGTCGCGTCAGGAGTTTGTGCGGCGTCTGGAGAGCTGTCCGTGGTGCTGAATGTACCAGGCGCTGAGAGGCGCTGTCCTTGGTCCTGATTCGAAGCGTAGCGTTATTCTCCCCTCTGTTCGCGGCTCCAGCGGCCCCTGCACCGCACTGATTAGTTAGAAGCGAGAGTAAGAGATAGAGAGAGAGAGAGAGAGGGAGGGGGGGGGGGGGGAAAAGAGAGATTGGCAAGCGATGCATGAAGAATCGCGCCCGGGAGAGAAGCAGAGACGCCACTTAAAGAGCCACGGACCGTTTTTAATGATTCCACTCCAGCGAGGCGTCCACACAAGGCGGTCTGAGCTTCACAGTTCACTTAACACGCTGGAGAACGTGTGTGTGCACACGTATGTGTGTGTGTGTGTGTGTGTGTGTGTGTGTGTGTGTGTCCATGTAGGTTACTGTAGGCGTTTGTAGGTGTTTATGTCTGTGTTCACGTGACTATCTTATGTGCAAATGTGTGCACATATGAAACGTGTGTCTTTGTGAAGTGTGTGTGTGTTCGTGTGTGTGCGTGTGTGTGTGCGTGTGCCACAGGCGGCTGAACAGATCGGACCGTTTAAAAGCTCCTTGTATTGCCTGTTTAAACAGCAGCGAATTGTAGCCTGTCTTACTCACTGGAGACCAATGAAAATGATAGCATGACAGGACCCCCACCCCCCTAACCCTTCCCCAACTAGTAGTATGTTTGTGTGTGATTGAACACGCACACATTCGTGCTCATGTACAAAACAATGCATTTCTTTCTTTCTTTCTTTCTTTCTTTCTTTCTTTCTTTCTTTCTTTCTTTCTTTCTTTTAACATGGTAAAAGACAAGATAAATGTTAGTATTTAGTGTAATTACACCATTTTAGGAGTATCTGTATGTTGGCATCAATATGGTCACTGTTTATCTAACTAAGTGACTGATGAGCTGACTAACTGAGTGACTGGCTGTTTAGCTGATGGAACTGGTGGTTGTTGTACTGACTATGAAATAAACATAGGAGGAAACAGGGATTAAAGCCATCAAAAACAATCAGAGAAGGAAAAGTGAAGAGAGAGGGAGAAAGACGGATTACAGATAAATAAATGCATGAACAGATCAACAGAGAGAGTAGTGACAGGTCTTATCATCCTTCTCACTTGCTTGCGCGCGTGCGTGTGTGTGTATGTGTGTGTGTGTGTGTGTGTGTGTGTGTGTGTCCGAGGCCCTTGCCGCCTGCGTTATCTCACAAGGAGACTCATTAACATAGAAATGACTTCAGGAAGAGAAGTACAGCATTTCACCTCTGGTGAGAGACAGGAGGGAAGCTGAGGAGGAGGAGCGACAGCACAGGAGGAGAGGAGGGAGGAAAAAGAGGGGAAGGAAAAGGTGAGAGAGGCTGTGGTAGGAGAGAGAGTAGAAGAGTGTAGAGATAAGCAAGGAACGGATGAGGAGTGGGAAAGTCAGAGGGGAGAGGTATTGATGGAGGCAACAAATGAGAAAAGGGCAGAAGGAAGAAGAGGGAGTGAAGATGATAGAGGGATGTGATGAGAGGAAAGGATAGAGCAGGAGGGAAGGAAGAGAGGGAGTGATGTGAGAAAGGAAGAGCAAGGCAATGATTCATGGATGCAATGCATGTCTTCTAGAAAATATGTTTATATCCCACTAATTTGTGTTGCCAAATATGCTCTGAGGAAAACATAATCACTACCTGGATCTCTGTAGGGAACCAGGAATGTCTGAACCAAATTACACAGCAATTCATCCAGTAGTTGTTTCGATTATGTTCTTGTTGTAATAAAAGCTTTTCACCTTTGTACCTTGATGAAGCAGTGGGCCTTTACTTTTCTGGGAATTCATTGCTCTTTTTTGTGGACATCAGTTGTTGAGGTACAGTATTTGAGTCTGAACCAATATGGTGGGACAACTCAATGACCAACCGACAAACTTCGATCGGCATCCGTAAAGCCAAGCAGTGTCAGTTGTGCTTGTGTTGCAGGCAACAAATATGCAAATAGTAGTTCATTAAAATGTTTTCTCATTATGTTCATTAAAAAAAAAACCTTGCTGTCCGTGTTACACATCTCAGAGAACATGCTGTTATGATTTTCAAGACAGGTTTTATGAGTGAGAGACTGTGATGGATGTAGGGATGAAGAAAGAGCGAGAGAGACGGACGGAAAACAGTTAAACGATATATACAAATGTAAGTGAATGGTTTACACACACCGATTCTCGTTGCCTGCAGGTGTCAAAATTGCAGCATCTATGTCTTTTCTTGCCTGTAGATGCTGCACATCAACATGTCGTTGTTGCTGCTGTTACATTTCTTGTCGATAGGCGACGCAGGTTTGACTGAACATTTCAGGCCCATTAGTCTCTCAGCACTTTCATCGCTGTAACGTAACGGTGTCTTTCTTTCTCTGAATGGAGGTAAAGTGTACGTAGCTGACAGCAACTTTTCAGAAAGATGCAGCATTAACGTCTATCAAAACTCTGATTACCATTTGGCTTATGGCCCTGGTGTTGCTAGGCAGCAGGAGTGGAGAGGGGTCAAAGATCCCCATGGAAGAAAGCATCATGGGAAATGCAGTTTGAAATCATTAGTGCTTGTGTTTGCCCTTTCTTGTTCAGTCTCCCCTCTCCTCTCCTCTCCTCTCTCAGTTATTGGCAGTACAACAGGAGGATGAGGAGAGGAAGATGGGGGTGGTTCTTGAAGAGAGGAGGAGGAGGACTGCAGGGTTTCTGCTCAGTGAGCTGGAACCTTCTCATGCCTCTGGACAGTGCTCAGAGACTGGGAGGAGGAGCAGGAAGGGGACGAGAGGGGAGGCAAGACAAGACAAGAGGAAGAAGTTAGAGGAAACTGAAAACCACAGAGAAATTATAGAGTGAAAGAGACACTGTGTGGTGGGGTGGGGTGGGGGTGGGCAGATAGACACACACATGAATTTAATGTTAAAAACATGAGTGTTCTGTGAAATACACCAATTAGTCCTGTATTAAAACCAATTTATGTACATTGATGCCTTTTATAGGCTTTTTAAGTGTCTCATTTTCGAGCGACCTTGATGCGTATGTGTGTATTACAATGTATTTCTTTGCCTGTGCCCAGTATGGGTGTGTGTGTGTGTGTGTGTGTGTGTGTGTGTGTGTGTGTGTGTGTGTGTGTGTGTGTGTGTGTGGGTGTGTGTGTGTGTGTGTGTTTGTGTTTGTTTCTAATGTTTGTGTGTGCTTTACCAGATGGGAATGACTCCAGGGCAGAGAGAGGACATATGGTGATGTGGCATGACTCTGGCGTGATGCTAATATGTCAAAACTGTGATTTATGACTTAGATGTCCACAGACACAGCCCCAGGAAATGGTCTATGAAGCTGTGTGTGTGTGTGTGTGTGTGTGTGTGTGTGTGTGTGGGTTGTTGATGCTGGTGTGTTGTTGATGTGTGTGTAGGTGATGATGTGTGTGTGATGTGTGGTGTAGGTCAGTGTGTAATGTGTGTTTATTTGGTTGGAAGGGCGAATTGTTTAAGTCGAGATGTTACATCATTTGGAACCAAAACCAGATTATTTCTGGCCAAGATTAAATTCCAAAATTACGTTTTTGAAAGTTTTGATGACGTTTGGTATTCTGTAGGTGGCGCTCTTTCAGCCATGGTGGTTAGCTCTGCTCATGCAGGCTACCCACTTCTTTACTCTGTGTTTATTCCATTCATGGTTTATTCAGCTGTAGTTGGAAGAGCAGACAAATGAAGATGGATGGAGTGCAGATGTGATCTGTGTTTGTTGTCAAAACGGTAGTAGTCAAGTAATAATGTGTGCTTGTATGTCTGTAAAGTGTACGAGAGGACACTCTGAAGAAGACATGAGGTCAGTGATCATGTGAAAATGTCTCTAATATGCATGCATAATGAAAATGTGTGTAAGTGTGTGTGTGTTTGACTGACGGCGAGATTGATTGATCAAGAGGGAGAGGAAGTAGAGAGTGAATGAAGGGGAGACACAGAAAAAGAGATGTATCTTAATTGTGAAGGCACATGTCTGATGGTGTGAAAGTGTGTCTAATATGTTTGCCTAATGAAAATATGTGTAGGGCTGAAAGAGAGAGAGAGTAAAAGAGAGAGTGAGCAAGAAAGAAAGATAGTGTGAAATAAATCCAATAAGCTTCTCCGTCATGCTCCCCTCTTGAGCGTTTTTAAGATCCACTGAATGAAATAAATAAGAGATTCTTTTTCTTTTGTCAGTTTCCCTTTTTCATCTCTCTCTCCAGTGTGCTGCAGTGCCCTGCTGTCGTTCACTTCAGCCCCACTCTTCCCTTCATCCTTTTTTTTTTCCCTTTCCATCTGCAAGAGCAGCTAGTGTCTGTGCTAGCTAGTTCACCAGATAATGAGTGTGATGCTCCACAAACATGGTAACCACTGATAAGACATCTAACTAACTGTTCGCTAAACCCCACCCCTGGACAGCGATTATCCATTTATAGCTTAGCAACTGTAACCAGGCACGTCAGGCCTGTAAAGCTTTGGATTTCTCCACATGCCGGCCTGGTGTGCATGGGGTTGTAGTAAGAACGGTACTCTGCATTTAAGGAGGGTGTGGACGGTGGTGTTTTGCTTTGTTAGCCATTCCAATACCAAAAACTCAGGGGCAAAAAGGAATTGATTAAATTGCTAGTTTATCTGCTTAATTCTTTGCATGTTCGACTAATTATCTTACTTTCTACTATAGGAACCTAGCATTACTTTCAAGGCCAAGAAGCATTTCATATAACATTATTTTGTTGGGTTGTTGTTTGTTAAACAAAGGTGTGTTACCCACTCTTTCCTGCTCTTTTTTTTTTAATTTGGGGGTGTTTACACTCTATCGACCTTTACCTGAGATATGTCACATGGAGCTTTATCATGTGTAGCCATCAAATCCATATTTGAGATGCTTTCCCTTTACTTTCATAGGGTTCTTGTGTGTTAAAGGAATTAGCTGGAAACATTAAAAAGTCAGACACACACACAGTTTTCAACCAACGCAAGATGCTAATTTTAGCTCAATTAGCCAGCTAGCTACCTTTGATAAATGTCTGCCAGCAACAGCTGTCAATTTACACACAACTAGAATCACCACCTCGCTGTGTGTCTTCACCACTCAGTGAAGTTGCAGTTCACAGCCATGTCTAAAGACTTTGAAGGAATTCGATGAAAGTTATCAAGTGTATTTTTTATTTGTGAATTAAAGCCAAAAACTTGTTTTGTGAGGTCACAGTGATTTTTGACTTCTACAATCTAATCAGTTAATCTTTGAGTCCAGGTGAACATTTCAACCAAATTTCCCTCAAGGTGTTCCTGAGATATCGCGTTTGTGAGAATGGGACTAATGGACAGATATCCTGAAAACATTATGCATCTTGCCACAGCTGTCAACAGCGTGGAGGCATAAAAATCTATGGTTATCGGCTAGTAATGAGAAGTCTAGTCTACCTTTGTCTGAAGTCAACGATGCCTTGTTTAAAAAATGACTGTAAACTACAAGTGTCAGAACGGAAAGCTTGACAGGCATAGAAACAGTAAGGGGGAAGGGCATTAACAAAAGGTCAATTTGCCACTTAGCATTATGTGGCCAGTAGCTGGCTGATTTGTAGTTGCGTTATATTGATCCTAAAATGAAACCTGAGACTGTCTCTTGCAGTCAGAGGTAAATTGAGATGCTGTTTGAACTACAGCAAAACCTCTAATTTCATAAAACTGGGCACAAGCCCAAACTCCAAGCACAAGCGTACATGGATGTGACCAATCAATGTTTGCAGTTTAGAGGAGGAGCTTCAATAATGACCAATCAATGAAGTTCTTCTCATCAACTCTGACAGCAGGATATGTGTAGAAGGAGTAGATGATGCCCCTTTTGGAGTTTCCAGGCACATTCATAGACAATATACTCACACACACACACACACACACACACACACCACATACAGCCTCCAAGCAGTATGTGGTGTGTGTGTGTGTGTGTGTGTGTGCGTGTGTGTGTGTGTGGGTGTGGGTGTGGGTGTGTGTGTGTGTTACTTATGTCTGTTTATTTGGAAAATGTCATTGCTTCGGGGAAGATAACTGTTTGGCAGGACAGCACATAATGTTTGTATTTGCACAGTTCTCTGTGTTCTCATATGGAATGAATGTGTGTCAGTGTGTTATACCGTGGTACTGTGTATATGCCAACTGTGCGGGCAAGTGAGTACAGCAGTATATCAGCAACCTGCTGTGTTCCTATCAGTTCTCCATCTCCTATTTCTTCTTCTTTTCCAATCATATGTATTTCTCTTTCTTTTTCCAACCTTGTATTTGGTTTAAATTTCATGTCACTCCCTCTTTCCCTCCAACTGATCGCGTGCTCTCTGTGGCAGAAAATAATATTGATGTTGCCATTATGAGAAGTCTGATTATTATTGTTATTATCACAGAGGCACATGAAGCCAAGCATGTCCATGTGGGATGTGCACATAGAGGTGTGTGTGTGTGTTTGTGTGTGTGTGTGTGTGTGTGTGTAAATGTAAAACATAGGCGTGAGGGAGACCTGCCAATTGAAAAGGATGCATATAATAAAGATTTATGCTGCATTGACTGTGAAAAGAGTCTAATGTAGAACACATCATTAACAGCTACCTCATTAATCTCTGTTCCTGTAAATTGCACACATGCAGATTTACTGTGTCAAATAAACAGGCTACCTACCAAGGCCCTGAAGGAAAACTGTCCTGACAAATGTATTCAAGAACCCAAAATTGTTGTTGTGCGATAATGTTAGTTGGCTTGAAAATAAACACAATGGAACAGGAGCTGGTTAGCTTTGCTATAATGTAAGTGTGTACTAAGTGGAGATTTAGACATCCTTAAATGTTATTAAGATGTATAGTGCTGGTTAGGTTGATGTAATCATTTTTCCCTCACTTCAAACTGCTTGAATATAACTAGTAAATACTAGTAACTCTGCAAGCAAACTGACAAATTTACAAAATCCAAAGTGTATAAAAGTTAATAAAGTTTTAGAAGTAAATTTCCCCAGGCATTCCTTTGGCCCAGATTATAAACATTCAACACAAGAA